AGATACCGTAGCATCACATATAGTAAAAACATCCAGGGTACCATGGGATAAAGCACACATCATCTACGTACAGAGAGAACTTTAAAACATGTAGCCACAGAAACGGAGCATTCCCTCCCCTTCACGAGCGAAGACATATCAGAGGCTCAGAGGTTAAACCAGCAAAAGCACCAGGATTTGATAATATTCACCCTGAATTCCTAATAAATTGTGGCGTATACAAAAGTTTGGCTTGCTCGATTTTTCACAGATATCATGGAAACTGGAAATACTCTACAAGAACTAAAGCGCTCTAAGATAATAGCCATACTAAAGCCAGGCTAACCCGCCGACAACCTAAAAAACTACAGACCAATTGCGCTTCTCTGTGCCATCTACAAACTATTAGAACGGCTTATATATAATAGAATCAGTACATAATTGTTCTAGGTGATCCCAATCGAACAAGCGGGTTTTCGACCAGAACGAAGCTGCGCGGACCAGGTAATGTCACTCATCACCTACATCGAAGCTGGTTTTCAAAGAAAACTTAAAACTTCTGCGGCATTTATTGATCTTTTTGCAGCTTACGATACAGTATAGAGAGAAAGCCTTGTATACAAAATTCTCCGCGCAATCCCCTGTAAACCAATAGCACGCCTAATAGATAGCATGCTCAACGATCAAATGTTTCAAGTAGTGATGGGCACATATATCAGCAAACCAAAGAAACTTCAGAATGGCCTACCACAGGGGTCAGTGCTCTCTCCATTACTATTTAGCTTATATTTAGCAGATATGCCGGAAACACAATCAAGAAAGTTCGGATACGCCGATGACTGGGCCCTCAATACACGATGCAGAACACTAGAAATGTCTGAACAAGTTCTGACGGCAGACATATATATTGGGGCAAATATTTTCGCAAGTGGCGACTTCAACCAAAACAGAAGTTAGTTACTTTCAGTTGAACAATAAACTTGCTGGAAAGGATCTCAACATATGGTTTGAAAATGCCACACTTACCCACAACAAAACACCGAAGTACCTGGACGTAACACTAGACAGAACGCTTTAATTTGAAGAGCATTTAACAAAAACTGCCCAAAAGTTGAGTACAAGAAATAACATTATACAGAAACTCTGCGGTACCACCTGGGGAGCATCGGCTTCCACTCTCCGCTATACTGCCTTAGCTCTTGTTTTCTCGACCGCTGAATATTGTGCTCCAGTTTGGCTATACATGTCCACACGTAAAAAAGGTCGACACTCAACTGCACAGTACTATGAGGATGATAGCTGGTACAATTTAATCAACTCCTACCCAATGGCTTTCAGTATTAAGTCACAACCCACCTCCGTGAATACAAAAAAATAATTAACAAAATAAACCTGCCGATTCACCAAGATACTGACGATGCCCGAAATACTCGTCTCCGTTATAGAAAACCGCCAATGAAACCGGCAAGAATGATACATGAGGAGTTTCAACATCACGAATGCATGGTCCCAAGAATGGAACGCGTGGCAAAATAACATGCCCTGCATTACCCACAAGCCACCAGGTTTTGATCTTCCACGCAAAACATTGTCCACTCTAAATAGGATCCAAACCAGACATGGTAGATGTGCATACATGCTACATAAATGTGGAAAGAACCCGTCTCCTCAATGTGACTGTGGGGAGAACCAAACGATCGACCACATTATTGAAGAGTGTCCCTCAAGATCCTACAATAGTAGCAATGAAGACTTACTTTGCAACTTCAGAGTCAATTGATTAAATTAATACACTTGATGTTTGTTTGTAACTATTTAAAGTTTGTCATATACCTACATTACTAGTGTTTGTAATTTTGTTCTAAATGTGTTGTAATTGCCATACGATAAATAAATATGTAAGTTGTACTAGCACTCTAAACAAATTAATAATATCCAGTACATATTCCCAATTTTATCTGTTATTTTAATCTGAGGAATTATTTTGTTTGTGTTATAAAACTTGAGAGAATATTTAAATTTACATTAAATTCTTGGTGATGAATATGGTATTATGGATTTTGCATTTACGCTGTTATATAAACGCTAATAAATTGTTGAAATGTTAATTTGTAGGTAAATATTGTGATCTGTTGTCATAGTAATTTTATATGAGTGAATTTTTAAGCTTTAAAAATATTTTTTTATCAAAAAAATGATACTTTTTGTACGTTATTTTTAATTATTACACTTTAAAAACCAATTAAAATTTTCATTTATTTGTGAATTGTTATTTAAATTTAGATCTTCGAATTCAGTTTGGTTTACCACAATAATTGCATCGTGAGTAAATAGGTACCAAACACATGGCTGTAAAACTATTTTGTAGTGGCATTATACTTTTTATAATTGAATTGGTTATTTCGAAAAGGCCACAACTCCAGAAATGTTAATTTTACAGGAAACGAAAAAAACGTTTCATTTTGGTATTAATAAAGATATCTTTCTCTTTTCGGGGTAAAGTCTCAAAATGTGATGCATGACGAAGTTTCATTAACAAATTCAACATAAAAAACACATAAGTACATTGTTAAAAATAATTTAGTTTTTGGAGTTGTGGCCTTTTCCAAACAAACACTGATGATTTTATGATTAATAATAAGAAAACTACAATATTATTAAGGAAAAAATTTATTAGGTGGCAAAAAACATGTTGAAGGTTAAGAAATAGTCTTTTAGTAATCTTCCTCTGGTGGTTCAATCCCTATTAGTGGTAGACCATAAAATCAGCTCAATTAAAAAAAAATCTGGCACATATTGTACAAGTTTCTTGATGTTGTTCATTTTTTTTTTCGAATTAATAGGGAATTTTTCCGTGTAAGCAGACTCTAATGAAATCGTAGGCTTCCACGGCCAGAGTCAGAATTATAGTTTATTCGTCTTCCGGGTTTGGACCGTGTCATTTGTGAGTGATCCAAAAGTGGGTTCATCTTCAATCAGTGAGTTCATCTTCATCTTCAAAAGATGAACCCACTTTGGGTCACTCACAAATGACACAGTCCAAACCCGGAAGACGAATAAACTATAAGCAGACTCTGTTGGCAAACTAGGACAAACTCCAGCTGGTTTTCCCAAGGAAAATTCATTAAACATAAGCCCATCGATAAATGGACGTACTTTAACAATTCCCGGTTTTTTGTTGCCATATTCGAACTCATTATGTTGAGAAATTTGAAAAGTTGTTTTCTCATGTTTGGTTTTTCTCTCATAGGAGTCAATGGAGAGTACGGTTTTCTTATAATGCACGGGCCACCATTTTTGTTAATTTTTTACCAGTTCTATAGAAAAAAAGAGATTTTCTTGACGATTTTTTATCAATTCGTAATATTCTTCAGGAAGAAAAATTCGGTCCTGCTAGCGAATGAGTCTTTTTGCTACCGCGAAGTCTCTATCGCACGGGAGGAATGAGTGACCTCTGATTTAAAAATAATGAAAAATGTGAATTTTTCCTGACGAAGCAAGAGCTAGAAGGAATCTTATTACTGTGTGGTTCTTATTTTGGCTTGCAGCACAACCATCTGAAAATATATGGACCTCTTTTACACTTTCAGAAACCTCGTTTTCAAAATAATTTTTCAGGAAGGTGCACACTTCATTGGATCCTTTGTGGGCATCGCCCTTGTGATAGGAAAAAAAATACCTTGTCCTGTTTTTAAGTTGTGTATACTGAATTCAAAAACCCATAACTGCCGATAGTTAAAAAAAATTTCTGTACAGGTATGTCAGGTATCGGCAAATTTTGCAAAAAATCCATAGAGATTCCGTACCTGAAAAAAGTTTTTTAATCTACTCTAGTTTTTTATAAAATTTCTTAGCCCTATTTTTTGCAACAGCAACTCGTTTTGCAATGTCGTTGAGAGTGGTTACTTTTAACTTTCTGGCCAAGTTCTTCACAAGCAAAACATACATCAACTTGCGGATTTTCACTTTAGATTGCGTAAATTTTTCGATAAACATTTTATGCATTTGTTTGACATCCAAAGTAGCAGGTAAATACTTTTTATATTAGCATAATAGACTTGTATGCGCGTCACGTATTTGAAAGCACAATTCATCTGGTATTAAATTATGCCTAGATTTAAGAGATTTACCTCTATTATCTCTTGGAGTGGATTCAGTCACTAGTAGTTGGCATAATCTTCTGACATGCTTTTCGCCAACACCATATAAACTTAAGAAAGCTTTCTTACATACTTGCTTACGTACTCCTTTTAAACAAACATTTCACTGCTATACAGGGCCCGATTAATAATACCTTTCTTTCTTTTCCTTTATTTATTTTCAATAATGACACTGGTTTCACTATCAGAGCTACTGATTGTTGTATAAACAATATGCGATGGAATCTAATCGTACTTCTTCTTCTTCTTCAGTGCCTTATCCGGTCCGGATGTTGGCGATCATCAAGGCTATCATGGTTTTGTTGACTGCTCTGCGAAACAGCTCCGCTGAGGTCATCCCAAACCATTGTCAGAGATTTTTCAACCACGAGATATGACAGCGTCCCGGTCCTCTTCTGCCAAATACTTTACCCTGCATAACAAGTTGAAGAATTCGATATTTTTCTTCGTTCCGCATCACGTGGCCGAGGTACTCAAGCTTACGTTGTTTAATTAAATTAAGAATTTCTTTTTCTTTTGTCATGCGCTGTAGGACCTCAACGTTGGTGACATGGTCCACATAAGATATTTTTAGTATCCTTCTGTATATCCATATCTCGAAGGCTTCGATTCGTTTTTCAGTGGCTTGCGTCAGTGTTCAGAAGATATTAAAATGTTCAATATGGTGACACTATAACTTGTGCATCCAAATACGATTCACAAATTGTAAAATTCGTGTAATTATAACTTGATCTAAATAAGACATCAGCAAAACAATGTTTGGAGGCTGGTCTTTGTAATCTGTAATGGCTAAAAAATTCGCTTATATAAAACTGCAAATGTTTTTCGCTTAACATATTATATTTTCTTGTTATTTTACAGAAGACAGTACTCATTTATCCATGATACAAGTTATTTATGCTAGTAAGTACAAAGTACTTATTTTCCTCGTTTTCATCTTTACATAATGTACCTTTTTACAGTGGCTCTGACTACGAGACGGACGTGGCACTCTTCGAAATGTTCAAAAACCAAGACACTGGATTGCTGCACATTGGAAAGTTCTTGTCGGTATATTGAATATTCTTAATACTTACCAAACGTTTCAATATTGCATTTTTAGGCAGTCAAGGCTACAGGTCTCAGAAAAACAGATCTGCGATTGCAGGATATGATGGAGAACTTAAAAAAGTTGTCGAAAACAAAGTCTGATGGAAATGATGTCGATACACAAAAGCTAACATTAGATCAATTTAGAAGGTAAGTAATCAGATATGTTTTGTGTTAGTTTGTCTTTAGTTTCATGCTTTTGATATCAGGAATTCGTACTCGCGTTTAATATTCTAAGAGGTGGAATTCTGGAAGTTAATAACTCTTCAAATTTAACAAGAAGAGAACGTTATCTTGAAAATGCACGTTTATGTTTCTGTATTAGATTGTATTAATAAAGGTAAGTATGGCATATGTTAGGACTGGGCGTATTATTGTTTTGTATAGATTTATTTTTGTATTTCTCTATTAAACGCTATACCGTGCAACATCAACATCATTGTAGTGTATACACCAACATTTGATAGCACAGAAGAAGTAAGCAGCTTTTACAATAACTTAAACAAAATATTTAACGAAACTAAAAAAGAAGAAGTAAATTTAATTTTAGGTGACTTCAACTCGAAGGTAGGGAAAGGAAGAGATGAAGAAGTAGTAGGAGAGCGCGGACTGGGAACACGCAATGAAAGAGGTGAAAGACTAGTTTAGTTTTGCAAATATAACGAACTCATTATCAAAAACACGTGGTATAAACTGTCAAATCCAAGAATATATACATGGAAAGCACCTAGAGATGATGGTGAAATTATAATAAGAAACCAAATAGATTACATAATAATAAATCAAAGATTACGAAATGCCATAATATCGGCTAGAGCGTACCCAGGAGCAGATATAACAACTGACCACAATCTAGTTCTAGCATGAAACTCAAGTTAAAAAATATATAAGCTGCTGTAATGCCATTATGGTATCATGGCCAGCTTCTTTATATAGTTCAGATGTGAGATTATCTATTCCGAGTGATTTGTTTCTGGCCAGTTTTTTAGCTGCATTTTTAACTTCAAAAATCGTTGGTGGTTCCTTCCCTCTCGTCTCCCTTACCTCATCTCTTTCGTCTTCCAGGTTTTCTTCTTCCTCATATTACGTGCCTGGTTAAAGTATTTCACCGATCTATTCGATACATCTTTGCCTGTTGTTAATAGGTCGCCATTCTGGCTTCTGCAGTTTCTTGTGGTTGCCTTGAATTCTCTCTCTCTCTCTTTCTCTCTCTCTCTCTCTCTCTCTCTCTTTCTGTATATCTAAGTTCCTTATTTGGGTGGTTTCGTTTTTTTTCTTTTGTGTATTCTCTTTTCTTCTTTTCTCTTTATCTGGTAATTCTCTACAGTTGTTCTAGTTCGTCAAATGAGCGTCCTTCTGTATACTTCATTTTTTTTGTTGCATATATATATATATATATATATATATATATATATATATATATATATATCTATATATATATATATATATATCTATATATATATATATATATATATATATATATATATATTATATATATATATATATATATATATATATATATATATATATATATATATATATATATATTCAAAGTCTTAAGTGCGCCAAGCAATTAATTAGCTAATTAATTAATTAAACTTATTTAAATGATGCAATTATGATTCTATCACACTATTTAATTCTCTTATCTCAGGGTTATATTCGTGCTTCAATATCTATGCTTTACATATGATAGGTAAGGTCCAAAGAATACCGGAATAATAAAAAACATATATGATACAACATTATATATTGAAATAAAAATATATTGAAATAAAATTCACACTCAAATATCTTCAATAAAAATATCTCATATAATGATTATCAAAATTTTGTTCGTACGTACGTGAACCTTCAAAAATTAATGGTACATACAATATAAATTAAAATTTCAAATCAAAATTGTTGTTCTAAATCTCCTGATCAAAATATTCTTATCTTTTCTAAAGCAATTGTAAAAAAAATGTGTTGTTAATAAAGAAAAACTGGATGAATAGTAAAACTATCTCTCTGATGATGAGTTGTCCAAATCCTTGTTCCTTGTAGCCTACACTATCTATTCTTAGCAGTCCCCTAGGTAATCAACAATCTTACAACAAATTGTTGCGAGCCTATCGTCTTTAATGATCTCCTTCAAATGCACGTATCGTTCAAATTATGCTAGCCTCTTCCTCTCGATAAACTGAATCTCTCGTTCTGGCCTGAACAGTGACTCTTGGAATATAAGTAGAAAATATAACTTACAATATTTTACTGGATCAGCTTCTGTCAGATACACTTACTCCACGAAAACTCACAAACATTCACTTCTACTGCTTACTACCTCTGGGGAACCACCAGAGAACAACGACTGTTCGCCTTCTACCCTTGGAAACCAACTGATTATCTTTTTTCCCTCAAAAATCTAGCTAAACTCTCATTCTTACAAACCATCCCACATTTTTCAATCTCCTCCAATTATAGCTCCTCATACGTATCCCCATCTCTTCATTTAGATAACAAAATAACAATTTTACCTACAATTATAAATTTTCTAAAAACTATTAACATGCTAATCGGTTTCTACAAATTCTTAAGAACTAACGGAGAAATATATTTCCTAAATATTTATTCTATTGTCTTATTCACTGTACAAGTCCATTTGGAAAACCCGCTCGCATTGTTCATGGTTTCACTAATTTCACTCACGTCACTTGAATATATTTTACAAAAGAAATAATTTATGCATATCTTTAAAATTTTGTTTACTACAGGTAATCCAGGATAATGGACTTTCATTTCTTCGAAATATCTTTTATAGTTTATTAGTCGAATTATTTGAATTATTATATTTTGTACTTTGAAATATACTCAAAGCAAACCAATATTATTTTCAATTTTACATAGCATAACAATATATATATATATTTATATATAATATATATATATATATATATATATATATATATATATATAGTATATAAAGTATTTCCTTTTTGTAGTATAAAAGTATATTATACATTATAGACAAGATGAAAAATTCATTTTTCATGATAATGTCATACTCAAATAACACTTTCTAATGAAGGTAAATACTTTAGGAATGACATTGTATTTAATTTTTTGAGCAAATACCTAAAATCTTCTATATAATCAATGTAATAGTCATAAGGAAGATTATTACATAGTCATCATAAAATATTTATTGATAACATGCAAAAAAATCGATCAGCAATAATGAATATCAATTGGGTGTAATAAAACTATCGATAGACATTTTAAAGCAGAGGTCACTGGATATAAATACAGTTTACACGAGAGTTACTAAATGAGTATCAGTAGATATTTATTTTCTATTAAACAAAAACTCCAAAATTGTAGGATTCTAAATAGTTATCTATTATATAGAGTGTTTCCAAAATAATATGAATTCCTAAAATATTATTTTTTTATGCTCAAATTCTACATCGTTCTATATATCTCCTCTTCTTATTTCTGTTCTTACGGCATTAATTAGGTGTTGGAGCTATTGATTAGTGGTAGCGGGTTGATACTCTTGTACGATCCTGGTATGAGATAGATCTACTTCAGGTACGCGATCCTGCCCACGCGAGCCATGATTATCCCCCAACCCTAGCCGGGGGAAGTTATGTCCCCACCCCAAGATCCCTACAAAAACAAATAAATCCTCACACATATGCATTACCAACGAGTAAACCTCACACGAAAGAAAAATCATTGGGGAAGGCAACGGGAAATCATCCCAATTAACTTTCCCTAGTATAATCACAATGGATGAAGTCAATATAGAAACGGCCCTTAGTCCCGGGCACCCCTTAAGTGGGGAGAGGGAGCTAAGAATCCTCCGGTTACCCCAAATATTTAGATTTAAGCATGATCAGAAGATTGGTACATGGAATGTACGAAGTTTATTACGGAAAAGTGAATAACGTAATTAAAGAATGGTAAAGACCCAACATTGACATACTTGGATGCAGTAACGTTAGATGGCCCAATTTACGCCAGTGCGAAATAGAAAACCACACAATATACTACTGTGGAGATACTACAACAAGAAATAAAAACAGAGTTGCAGTACTCAAAATTAATGCTAAACCAGTTAACGTGAACATTATTCAAGCATATGCTCCAACTTCGGAAAGCTCAGAGCAGGAAATAGAAATATTCTATGAACAATTGAAATAATCCCTAAAACATACCAAAAAACAAGAAGTGAATATCCTGCTAGGAGATTTCAACGCCAAAGTAGGCAAAGGAGGTGTTTACAATACTGTGGGACACTTTGGACTAAGGACGCGAAATGATAGAGGAGACCGACTTGTTCAGTTCCGCCAGGAAACAAATACTGCAATAATGAACACCCTTTTCCAATTACCACCTCGAAGACTCTGCACTTGGAAATCTCCAGCTGACTGTCAAAAAAATGATTAGAAATCAGATTGACTACATCATCATCAACAAACGATTTCAGAATTCCGTAAAATCCTCAAAAACATATCCGGGAGCAAATGTTCCATCAGACCATAATCTTTTACTAGGACATTTCAAACTCCACATGAAAAAAGTCCATAAAAGAAAAGCACAAAAACGTCCGGACATCCAGAAGTTGAAAGATAAAACCACAAGAGACGAAGTCAAAGAGGAGATCAACAACAAAATAAACAGCATGGTAATCTCAGATATTAATCAAGAAAACATAAGTGTGGATGATATGTGGAATAAAATCAAAAATATCTGTAATTCAGTGGTAGATAATAAACTTAAACCAGAAAACAATATAAAGAAACAGCCGTGGATGAGACAAGAAATATTAGAGCTAATGGAAGAACGAAGAAAACACAGAAATAAGAATGAGGAAAGGTACAAAGAAATAAACAAAATCATTAAGAAAAAGATTAAAGAAGCAAAAGAATCATGGCTACAAGATCAATGCATAGAAATAGAATCCCTAGAACAGAAGCATGACACTTTTAACCTACATAAAAAGATCAAAAACTTAACGGGAGGAAACGGATCACGAAGTCATAACTTAATACTAGACGAGCACAACAATCTGCTCTACGAAAATGAGAGAATACTTGAGAGATGGAGGCAATACATGGAAGAATTATTCAAGGAAGAGCAAGAGACAGAAGTCAGTGTTTCTGGAT